AGGCCTAGTTTATGCACTTCAGATCGGCTGATTTCTAAAAAAGATGTATTTGTTGATGCAGACAGAACTGGGGTGCAGGACAGGCGCAGGGGAGGGGAGAGGACCCCCCCAGAGGCAGAGCGGGGAGAACAAGCGGGTTCACTGAAATCCACGGCTGAGGGAGCAGCGGGGAGACAGGAGGGGTCTGCTGTGCCCTGGGGGTCCCTCCCTGGCTGGGTCGGGCTCTGCAATGCTGCGCTGTACCCCACTGCGCCCCCAGGGAGGCCCACAGGCTGATTTGTAAACAACGTGCACAACACCAGTGTTCTGCTTTCAGTCATGAGGGTCCAGCTGCTCTAACCCGAGCAGGGTCGGGGGGCTTCCTGGTAACTGCCGAGAAGCCAGCAAGAGCATGGCACTGTCGCCCCTCATGCCCGGGACTTTGGGGGGCGCACACCCCACGTCTTCTAATACTTTTCGTGGCCAAAATTCGCTTTGACGCCGCGATCCCTGGACGCAGACCCTGACGCGAATCCAGACTCTTTCCGCTGCTGCTCCTTAACTCATACCGGGCAGGGGTCCCTCGCTGGGTGGTCACTGTGTGGTCACTGCGTGCCGCGGAGGGGCGGGCAGCGTCAGCTCCGAGGCAGCGTCCCGTCCAGCTGGCGGGCGGCCGTTTCTCCTAGGCACCTGCTCCAGAGCGTCTCAGGGCTCAGGTGTTAAAAAATCGGTGAAAATTATGTAAAATAGATGAGATTATGTAAATTATGTAAAAATCGGTGAAAGTTATGTAAAATCAGTGAAAATCATGTAAAACAGATGAAAGCATGCCAACTATGTAAAATCGGTGAAAATTATGTAATATAGGTGAAATTATGTAGATTATGTAAAAATCGGTGAAAGCTATGTAAAATCGGTGAAAATCATGTAAAATCAGTGAAAATCACGTAAAACAGATGAAAGCATGCAAATTATGTAAAATCAGCAAACATGTAAAACAGACTAAATCAGATGAAAGCATGCAAATTATGTAAAATTTGCATGTAAAACAGACTAAACATGTAAAACAGACTAAATTATGTAAATTATGTAAAATAAGTGAAAATTATGTAAAAATGGTGAGGATTATGTAAAACCAGGAAGGATTATGTAAAACACGCAGGTTATGTAAAATAGGTGAAGATCAATGTCGTCCGCAGGATTAGGTTCAAAGAAGGGAAGCGGGCGGCGCTGCCCGGACAGTGGGTCAGCACCCAGGAAGCCCAGGCCGTGCCCAGGGATGTCCGGCCCCACCGCTGGACTGGAAAGGTCCGGGGCTGCGGGTCCACTCGGCCTCAGCCGCACCCCACGGGCCCCAGCTGCGCGGCCGCTGAGGGAGGCGCCCCCACGGCCCCCGAGAGCCAGCGCTGCCTCCCGCCGGAGCCCCCACGCCCCCACCCCGCCTCAGGAGCAGAAGCCGTGCCCAGCCGGGCGCTGGACAGGCACCGTCCACCGGTGGCCGCTCCGGTGTCCACGGCCAGAGTTGCACAAGTTCCCTGAAGCAGAAAACGTGCAAGAATCCGGCCAGCGGGAGCTGAGTTCCCGGGGGAGAGCAGGTCTGAGCGGGTGAGGGGTTCAGGGACGGGGGGGTTCAGGGACGGCGCCCGAGAAGGGGAAGGCAGCGGGGCGGGGCGGGGAGGGCGAGGCCGCTGGCTCCCGGTACTGAGCACTGAAAGGAGCCGGCGCTGTTCAAAGGGCCCCCCCAAAGGGCGGCGCGCTTCATCTTTACAGCCCACAAAGGCCGTCCGTCCGCTTGCAAGGTCGACTTTGCTGCCCGTGAGCCGATGGCCACACCCTCCCAGGCCCGACTGCCCAGGCAGGTTTGGGGACGGGCTCTCAAGAAGGCTGGCACTCGGGGCCGGTGTTCTGCTGCACCTCAGCACTAGGGAGAAAACTCCTTGCGGCCCCCCTGGGGGCGCAGCCTGCAAATTCTATCCCCAACCCCGAGGGACCCCCAGGGCGCAGCTGACCCCTCCCGTCTCCCCGCTGCCCCCTCAGCCGTGGGCTTCGTCCATCTGCCCGTTCTGCTCCCCGCTCTGTCTCTGGGGAGTCCTCTCACCGCCCTGCACCTCTGGCCTGCACCCCGGTTCTGTGTGCATGAATAAATAGATGTTTAAAAAAAAGAAGGGAAACGCCTTTCAAGTTGCCATTCGAATACTTCAACCTGTGTGTTTTTTTTAAGATTCATTTCTACTTACCTATGCGCACAAGTACTAGCGTGCAGGCCTGAGGTGCAGGGGTGAGAGGACTCCCCAGAGACCGAGGGGCAACAGAACAGGAGGATCCCCGAAACCCACTGCTGAGGGGAGCCGCGGGGAGGCGGGAGGGGTCTGCCGCGCCCTGGGGGTCGCTCCCCTACCGGGTCACACTCAGGCTGCAGGACAGCCTGAGACTCACCCCCTAGGCTGCCGGGGGGGGGGGGGCCCTTCCCAAAGACTATTTGTTATCTGTCAACTGTTACCGCAATAAACATAATAAAAAGACCTCTGTGCCTTCTTTGGAATAGCCACGCGGCCTCCGTTCTATTAATTATCAATTCCTTGCTGTCAACTGATTCTTTTCAACGGTCCATCTCCGGCCCGGAGTCCCGGAGGCTCTTTCGGACCGTTTCTGAGGGTCCCCACGCAGCCGCGCTGTGCCCACGCACCCACCCTGGGGCGGCAGCTGCAGGCGCTTCTGGAATTGTGCAGTGCGCAGACCTCGCCGGCCGCCCGCACACAGAAGCAGCCACCGCCAGGGAAGGGGGGCGTCCCGGCCCGGCCCCCCACCCGCCCAAGCCCCCACAGCAATGCTGCCCCCCACCTCAGCAGT